CCAGGATGGGCGTTCCCTGGGTCATGCCGCCTGCAGAGGAGATCGGGATGAGAACCATGTTTCCCAAGGCATGCCAGATTACCCTCCATCTAGCTGGCAGCCCCTGGTGGGAAACACTGTTCTCCTCTTCCTCCTCCACCTTCTGAACCAGAATTGGTGTGTTCAAGCCAGGTCCTCTGGGGACTGATGTCCCCTGAACCCGTGTACTGCTCGTGTAGTGGAAAGAGCTGGGATTGAGACCCAGAAACCCATTTAATCTCTGTGGGCCTCAGTTTTCTCATCATAAAATGCAGACAGTGTCTCCTTATCACGCTAGGAAGAAGGTGTTTAAAGACATTCAAACAGTGAGGTTAAGAGGCATACAAATGGCAGCTGAGAAGCAAAAACTTTATGTTTGGATTTGCTTATCTCATCCACAGAAATCCAGACCTTGATTCCTCCAGCGTCTTTGTTTTTTTTGGGGGGGGGTACGAGGGATCGAACTCGGGTCCTTGTGCTTGCACAGCAGGCGGTGAAACCACTGAGGTAAATGCCGGCCCTCCAGCGTCTTTGAATCTAAGGAAAATGCCCACAGAAATCTGAGAAGTCACATTGGCTGGAAGCCTGGCTTTTTGTGCTCCGGGTAGATAGGCATGTTCAGGGTTGCATATCATGTTCCAGTTCTCCCCTTTCTTCAGGCAGGTCCTTCCGCATACCTCTGCTAAACAATCTACATGTCACATTCTTGTGGATCGAGGCACAACTGGGCCATCAGCTCTGAGCTCCACTTTTCAGGTCAATGGCCATGAATGAACGCAAGAGCAGCCCCAGACAGCTATGCAGCCCAAGAGCTGTTGATTAGTCAGCTTCAACTCAGTACCTACAAGAACGAACAATTCTTAGCTCCCAAAATGGGAGGCTCGTGAATATCCTGGAATTGGTACCTGTGAGCAGTAGGTCCACTTGGGGAGAGCTAAGGTGCAGATTCTTGGGATCCACCCAGAGAGTTAGATTTAGTACAGACTTTGCAGGTGACCCTGATGCAGTGGTCCTCAGAATCCACAGGGAGAAATGCAGCTCTCCCTGCGAAAGATGGGAAGGTGTCCAAGGTGCCATGGCAGGGGTACAAGTTGTCACCAAGGCTGGGCGTCCCTGCTACCCCCCCCCCCCAGTCTTGCCCCTCTACAGTAAGCGCAGCTCCGCCCTTCTGGTCATGAATGTCATGCTGGACTGCCCCTTTTCTCATACCCCACATCCGGGCCATCAGCAAAGCCTGTTGCTTCCACCTTCCAGACATCCCACATCTGGTGCCTTTTCAAGTTCTCAACCAACCCTTCTTACTCCCAATGCCAGCTCTGTCCCCATCTACTGTGAGTCAGATTGTGTCACTCTCACCCAGTCTGAAGCCCAAATCCTTCCGAGACCCTAAGTGAGAGGCCCAGCTTCCCCCTGCTCTCCCGTCCTCATGCCCTTCCTGCCCGACACAGAGAGCACCTGCCTGACTCGTCCATGAGGCTTCTTCCCTCACCTCCTCCAGACCTCTGCCTAAAGCTCGCCTTCTCCCACAGCCCATGGCATTTAAAAGGACAAAGAACATCTGCCCGTCCCCTCGCTTCATTGCTCTGCTCAGCCCTTTACACATCCACCGTACTAAATACTGCCCTAGTTTATTGGCTGCTGCCAGGAAAAGGAATCTTCAGAGCAGGAATTTTTGTCTCTTGTGTTCCCAGCTCCATCGCTGATGCTTAGACCAGGGCCAGGCCTTGAAGGAGTACACAATCAATACTGTCTAATTGCTGAATGAATACATAAAACTGCAAGAGGCATGTACCTTTCTCCGACAAGCTGCCTTCTTAAGTGTGCACATCTCTGTATGCACCCGCATGTGAAGGCAGGTGTGGAAGAGGCAGGGAGCTAACCACCTCCTTTCTCCGTTGTGGCTCCTACTGGGCTGGAAGGCTGATTGTGCGTGGCTTAGCAAGTTTCACCGTAAAAAAACAATTTTCCATAAAAAAGCAGTTTGGAAAGATTCTCAGGCTAGTTTTCCAATAACTAGATAACTCATCATGATTAGACTTTGGAGTCTGACAGTAGCTTTTTGTGGGAGCATGACTGTTATTTATTTTTTTGTGGCACTGGGGGTTGAACCCAAGGACGCGGTACCGCTGAGCTGCATCCCCAGCTGTTAGTTTTCATTTTGAAACAGGGTCTTGCCAAGCTGCCTTGGCTTGCCTCTAACTTGTGACCCTCCTGCCCCAGCTTCCCGAGTGGGTGGGATTACAAGTGTGCAGGACACACCCAGTTAACCATTTTATTTTGTAGAAAAATATGGTTTGGTTTCTAATGAACTTGTACCCCTTTGCATAGTTGCATGTACATGCTGCTAGCTGTGTTGCTGTACCTCCTTTTACCTGTATAAAAGCTGTGGATACACTTGTTTTTTAGTTAAATTAACCTAACTGCAGATCTAAGTCTCTCCTCCATCCTCCTTTCCCTGTTTCATAATCCAATCCTAGAGTAGGAAATTGGCCAAATTCAGAAATTCAGGGAATCCAATACAAATCTATTATTTCCTTAATTTGCGGACAGAACAGTGTGTAGAATTTGCTTTTATTTTTACCCAAATGACTACTCCTTAGACCTGCATCAGATTGCCTTTTTCCCTTAGCATTTGGAAGAATGGTAATAAAAAGTGTGATTTTGGCAGTGCTGATGTAGGTGGGTCCTCCTGAGTTAGTGAAGGAGCCCAGCCAGACACTACCTGTCCGGTTTCTGCAGACACACCTGAAGGTGGCTGAGCTTGGGACCTGCTGTAAGCCTTCCTCTCTCCTGTCCACTCACTCGGGAGCCCGATTGGGGATGATGCTCTGTACTTGGTTTTGATAGTCTGAGCTGGAGAAGTTGGATTTTGATGGACCCAGGTTACATTCATTCTCACTACTCAATTTTCCTCTCTTTCAAACCAATGATAGACAGCGATATAGTTTCTCTACAGCGAGCTATGTAATATTTTCATCCTGTCCCATTCTGCCTTTTTCTGCCTCGAGTTTTGTCATTTTCCAGCTTTAAAAAGTTATGCCTGTCACTTTCCTGTTTTAACAAAGTTGAATTTTGTCTAATTTTCTATTTTTAGCAAACTGGAATTCCTCAGCCAAGCCCTCAAGCCCTTATAAGACCAAGTCTTGGGTCACCAACTTCATTGTCACTGTGTCCATCACATTTTCCACTTCAATCAAGGTCATCTGTTTGACCTGCTCAGCTTGCTGGTTTTTGAGGGACACAAGGAGCACTTATGTGTTGTCCCTGGGGCACTGTTCTCCTCAGACCACTACCCCCCCTTGTGCTTTTTCCAGCACGCTGTAGTATTCATCCCCACCATCTCTGCTGTCTCCCACCTTGAAGACTGATCTGTAAAATCTCATTCAAAACGCTCTTGCTCCAGCCAAAGCTGACTTTGTCCAAACTCCCGATTTTATCCTTATCTTGTGGCCATGTTGTGTGTGATTGGGTCCCACTGGGCATTAGGAAAAGCAGCATTAAGATTCTAGATCATGCTCCCTGGGTTCGAATTTGCTCTTGTCACATGCTGTGTGACTTCAGTCAGATGGGTCACCTCTCTTTGCCTCAGTTTCTTTATCTGGAAAGCGGGTTAAAAACAATGCCTGCTATCTAGGGCCCTTGTGCAGATTAAGAGTTAAAGCTTATGGAAGAGTATCTGGTGTGTATCAGACACTATTTAAATGTTTGGCTGTTATATTTTTATTTGCTGATCCAACTCTGTGCTGACCGTACTGTTGTATATGTGGTGCTACCTCTTCTTCCATTAGTTTATTTGCTGTTGTAGCCTGCAATACTCGGTAAGTATTAATATTTCCATTTCTTTCTTCTCCTGTTTTCTCCTTTTTAGGCCTAGACCCAGATTGCAACTGTGACCTAGTTTTTCCTTGCGATCCAGCACCCACCAGCGTCTTGCACTAGAGTTCCTTGCCACCTTTCTTTTTCAGTGCTCTCCTGGAGTCTCCATTCCAGCTCCTCCTCAGGACACAGAGGCAGAGGCGTGTACAGCCAGTCTGCCTCCTGGTGGCCACAGTTGGGATTGGCGCATCCGCCCGTGTCCTGGGAAGACGCACCCTCAGGTCCATCTGTGACCTCCCAGCCACACCCCATCACCTTGGCCATTTCCTTGCTGGACAGTGGCTGGTGCCTCAATTCCTTCCCCTGCTTCTCCGGAGAGCAACAGTCTTCTTTCTTTTTTCTTTTTCTTTAGTGGGCAGAGTAAGCGGAGATGGGAGCAACCGTGCCTGGTGCAGCGAACTTACCTGATCCACCGTGGCTTTCTAGGAAATCTGTGACTGTAGCCCAAGCCCTCTACTATTGCCTGGAAATCTTGCTTGTGCCCTCCCCTCCCCAGAGAACCCTGCAAGAGCTGAGAGCATCTTAACAGCTGGATTCCCTGTTTCTTTCCCCTCCTCTAATGTAGGGGTGTGTACATTCTCCAAGGCTCTCCTTTCTCCAAAACCAAACTTCCAGGCAGGGACACTGTAGGTTATTTTTGAAAGCTCAGGGTTACCTAAAAAAAGAGAGAAACTGTTAGACTCCAATTTTGGCTGCTCTCCTTTGTCTTCCGCTCAGCAGGTGCTCTGTAGAACCATGCATAATTGCTGGTATGTGGCCATTTTAACCCGCAGAAATCGCAGTTTCCTGCAGTTCACCCCAAGGTGTGCTTCTGACTGCACTGCCTTCACTTGCCACACTCTGATTGTGCTGCGGCCTAGTTTTAGTTCCCGGGCGTTGCAACCAGACCGAGATGGGAACAGTGAGCAGTGCCTCTTGCCAGAAGACAAAGCAAGTTAATTCCCCTGGGCTGAATGTTATTCCTGGCTCTTCGACTTCAAAAACCTCTTTGTTTGTTACAATGCAAACCAGTGTCACAGAGCAGATGCTGCATCCACCAAGATGCGAGGCAGCCGCGGTGCCAGAATCGCTCCGTGGTCCTAATGCAAGTTTGTTTTGTTTTCCAGTCTTTACGTATAACTCTGCCAACAAGGAAACCTGTGAGCACAACCATGGCCAGTGCTCCCCGCACGCCTTTTGCACGGACTATGCCACTGGCTTCTGCTGCCACTGCCAGTCCAGGTTTAACGGAAATGGGAAGCAGTGTCTGCCAGAAGGTGATTGACAGGGGCAGCTCTGGGGTTTCCCGCCCGCTCCTGTTTCCAGCTGCCTCTCAGCTCTGCTTTGTGGCCCTTACGTCTCCAGCACTTGAATCAAAGCCCTAGCAACTTGCAGGTGCTGAATGAATGTTGGAGGAATCAGTAGGTTCGTGGTGATTTGCCAACTGGAAGATACCCAGAGATGTTTCCTTCTTAGGGGAGAGAAGGAGGGGGGAGAAAAGAGATGCAGACAGGACTCTGATGGATGGATAATTGGTTGACTAGGGAATCTTTTGAAGGACTTAGCAAAGAGTGAGTGTGGGGAGTTTTAAGTGAAATTATTTTGCACACCCATTTTTTATTGCACTCCCAATTTGTTATTGTGCGTCCATCCCCAGCTTGGCTGATGGCCAAGGCGGACTGGATTTTCTGTCTCCTAGGAACACCTCATCGAGTCAATGGGAAAGTGAGTGGCCAGCTCCACGTGGGACACATACCGGTGTACTTCACCGACGTGGACCTGCATGCTTACATTGTGGGCAACGATGGCAGAGCCTACACGGCCATCAGCCACATCCCACAGCCGGCGGCCCAAGCCCTCCTCCCCCTGACACCCATCGGAGGCCTGTTTGGCTGGCTCTTTGCTTTAGAGAAACCAGGCTTCAAGAACGGCTTCAGCCTCACGGGTGAGCAGGGCCCTGGGGGGCAGATGGATGGCTTGCTGTAGGTGTTGCTCCTTGGGGTGGCGCCTGGGTCCTTCTGGAGGGACGGAGGGCTTCTTATTCTGGAGCCCAGACTCATAGTTTCTGTGCAGAGTCAGTTGGGAGTGATTTGGGTTTGCACAACAGAATTTTTGGAAAGACAGTGATTGCGTCTAAATGTTCTTCCAGCTGTTGAGAAATAGGATGATTCCATTAGTGTTTGTGTCCTTTTACCCCAGTTTGTTGAAGCACATTTGTCAGGCTGCATTTGAGTTACTGGGTACAGATCTGTCACGTAGGGATGCAAAATAAAAGTACGCATCAGGCACTAAGAGTTGATCTTACTGTGTGGAGAGGGATTGCTTTCCTCCACACCCTCCTGTAGTGCTAGAGGCCAGTGCTTTTCAACTCGGACCTGCACTCAGACCTCCTTGCTGGCTTGTGGGGAGGCAGATTCTGACCCAGGAAGCCTGTCATTCTGCTTCTCCAAGAGGCTCCCAGGAGGTGCTGTAGCCCCGGAATCTCCCTTTGATAGCAAGAGTGTGGGGGATGCTTTTTGTCCTCTCACATACCCATCTGGAAAGAGCTTGCTTTCTTTATTGCATGTAAAATAAAGTGCTTTGGAAAAAAGTCCTTTCCCCATCTCCAGTTCTAGAGCTGAATAGCGGTTTATATAATATCTTGCCTTTAATCAAAATATTTGAATAAACCCAGAAGTAGATACAATATAATACAGCAATTTAAGTTTAAACTTCAGATAAACAGTGAACTTTTTAAAGTCTAAGTACGCCACAGATACTGGATGGGACATATATGGAAACATACATTGTGTATTTGAAATTCAAGTGTAATTGGGTATCCTGGTTTAAGTTTGTGTGTGTGTTTGGATTTTGTTTGCTCTTTTGTTTTTGCCAAGTCTAGCAACCTTAAAGAAGCCAAGGATGTTCATGAGGTTTATTTCTCACAGAACACAAGCCCCTGCACAGAGGGGCAGTGTGAGGGGCGGCAGGATGAAGCCACTCTGCAAGAGAAAAGTTGGGCACTTAGGGAATCAACTGGCGGTAAGACTGTTTGGATAGGGAATAATCTCCTTAGCCAGCATGTTTAAGAGCTGTAGGAATTAGGTAATTATTCACTTTTGCAGTGTAGGGGATCAGCCCATGACTTCCTATCCTAAGCAAACTCCACTACTGAGCCTCAGACCCAACAGTAGTGGTGATTATGTAACTAAGGTGTGCTTATTTTTTTCCTCTCCAGGTGCTACCTTTGTCCATAACATGGAAGTGACCTTCTACCCAGGAGAGGAAAGGGTTTGGATCACTCAAACTGCTGAGGGACTCGACCCAGAGAACTACCTGATCGTGAAGACCAACATCCAAGGCCAGGTGCCCTCCATTCCAGCGAATTTCACAGCCCACATTTCTCCCTACAAAGAGCTTTACCATTACTCTGACTCGGGTAGGTACCATAGTTGTGAAAATTAAATGAGCAGCTACATGGAATGTTCTAGAATGCTGGCATCTAAAATGAGCTTAGTATTCTTTTTATTCTTTTGAAATATGTGGTATAAGTGAGCAGAGTGCTAACTACTCTACATTGGAACATCAATATCCTTACCTGCTACTTATAAATAGTTAACAGTATCAATAACAACATCGTTTACGGGAGTGGCTAAAAATAACATAATCACATACAGTGTTTTTTTTGGTACCAGGGATTGAACTCAGGACCTTGCGCTTGCAAGGCAGGCACCAGAACCACTGAGCTAAATCCTCGGCCCCTATCACATACAGTTTTTAACCATGCCACTCGGAAGCATAGAAAAATATTAGAATTTTTCCTGTAATCTTCGTTCAACTGGATTCAGCCTGCTCTAAAAGTCATAGAAGTTGTGCTATGTTGTAAAACTTACCTGAGATTTGGAGTAAGAAGATAGAATTCGCATTCTGGACTCGGTATTTAAGATCTATGGGGGCCGATCATGGAACATTTATCTCATCTTTAGCATGAGAACAAAGGCATCTTTTCTGTCTACATTACCTAGTTAATAACTGTGTAGTTATTATGTGATGTGTTTTGTTTTTGTTTTTTTTAGTTGCATTATTATTTTTTTTTAATTAAATTCTTTTATTGGTACATTGTAGGTATACAACACAATTACATTTCTCATTGGGAATTGTACCTTTACATG